GTGTGGCTTTGCTTCTCTATCTGATATAAAGCTGTTGCTGTGTGGCATTGCCCCTATCCTGTTTACAGCGCTTGCTGTTTGGCTTTGCTTCTCTATCTGATGTGTTGCTGTTGCTGTGTGGCATTGCCCCTATTCTGTTTACAGCGCTCGCTGTTTTGCTTTGCTTCTCTATCTGATGTATATCTCATGCACAGCGGTTGCTATCTGGCATCGCCCCTATCTAGGCCTCGTCTGGGGCACGGTCCGGGGCGGGTTGCAGGGTAGGTTCCGGGGAAGAACAACACCACGACGTTCCCAAAATGGCTTTCTCATTCGTCTGGAGCAATCCAGGCACAGAACACCGGACTCAGAACCGCGGGCTGATGTTGCAGAAGCACACCGAAGACTACAGTAGTCCTTAAGTACCGTGAACCCGACCTGCAGTGGCGACCCGAAGCGGGAGACCTCGTCTGGCTGAGTTCCGAGTTGCGAGAGCGTAAGTGTAGATGTCAATGTCACCCTGGAGGGTGTTTTTCGTGTGCAGAGCTCGGGACCTTGCGAATTCGCAACGGCACGTGAGGTTGGGGGTTCATGTTCGGAATCTGATGAGTGCATATTAAGGCTCGTGCCAAAGATTGAATGATGGGTGAGTGACCTTTGCTTGCTTTAAGCCGGCCAGGTCATGGTCTTGGTCAAGCAGAGGCACAAGCGAAGACCTCGTGAGGGCACAGCGCTGGTGGTGCATCGCATAATCACAGGAGGCTCTAGCCTAGTGTTCCCAATGTGTCGCCTCTGTGGCTCCCGACTGCGTTGTGTGTTTTGCTGTTGCCTTATGCCTTATGCGCCTCCAGCCTCCAGGCAGATTGGGCCCCTCCTTATTTAGCCAGGGCCTTGACGCCGGTCTGTGCACCAGCTGCAATCCTGCCGTTCCTGTGAAGACCGCTTCTCGTGCCGCTTGCCCCTTCGGCTCAGACATCCTAACTTTCCCCACAGGATCTGCCAAGGTTCTCCTTTTCAACGAGCCATGGGTTGCGGAGCCAGCAAAGCCACCATACTTTCAGAGGCACCAGTCTCTTCGAATCAAGATGATTACTATGCATACCAAGGGACTGGACCCTGGCACGCCTGCCGCGCAGACAGCGTGATCCAACCACGGCTCGCCAAGAGCGGAGCGGCAAGCGTGGACCAATGTCCGCCAGCGACGTTGCAAGAGCTCTTGAAGAAGGCAGCTGAGCAAAAGGGGGACAAGCCAGCCATGAAGGTGGAGCGACCACTACCTGCTCTACTTGCTGATGGATCAGCCCCACCGGTGCTGCCAGATGAGCAGTGGAAGGTTTGGACTTACAAGCAGTATTATGACGAGTCCAGGAAGGCTGCCCGCAGCTTCGTGAAGCTGGGCTTCGAGGCGAGACTCAGAGATTCTTGCAATCGCTGAGCATCAGAAACCAGTGGACTTATATAGCGCCTCTTGCACACAGCTCTAATGACTCTAATGCTGCACACGGCCCCCTGAGGCTTGTGACACCCTGGCCATCTGGGGGTTCAATGCTCCCGAGTGGATGCTCAGCGCCTTGGCCGCTGGCTTTGCAGGAGGCAAAGTCGGTGGCCTGTATCCGACAGGCCAGGAGGGGCCGTAAGCCTGCTTGCGCCGTAAGCGCATCTCTGGGTTTTGTGTACAGTCTGCAAGGCCTGTGTAGGCGCCTTAAACTGTTCGCAACCGTCCCATGCAAATGATCCTCAGATACACCAGAGACCGCAGCCTTCAAGATTGTCCACAGTGGCGCGAGCATCGTTGTCATTGAGGACAAGTCTAAATTGGAAAGACTGCTCCCAGCCCTCACGCAGCGCCTGCAAGATGGTGGAGCCTCGCGAATCAAAGCCTTTGTGGCCTACGGATTCGAACCAGAAGCGAACTACACCGTCGAGCTGAAAGGAAGTTCCAAACCTGTGCTCAGTTGGTCAAGCCTTCTTGCAATGGCAGACTCCGTTGAAGAGGATGTGATCGAAAGTCGTCTCAAGGCTGTGGAGCCCGGTCATTGTGCAGTCTTGGTCTACACATCCGGAACGACGGGGGAGCCGAAGGCGGTTATGCTGTCACATGACTGCATGGTCTTCGAGACACGAACAGTACTCAGCATGGCCAAAGCACACATGGGCTTATGCGCAAAGGCCGAACAGGAGAGGGTCTTGTCTTATCTCCCACTCTCGCATGTCGCCGGTAAGATGGTGGATATTTGCTTCCCGTTTATGGCCACGGCAACGACATCGGCATGGGTGACGACTTATTTTGCCAGGCCGTACGACCTAAAAGCTGGCTCTCTGGGAGACAGGCTTCGCGCAGCCAGGCCCACGATTTTCCTTGGCGTGCCCTTGGTGCCGCTTGGTTAGTGCAGAGCTTGCGCCATTTCTCTCCAGTACTGAGCCTGACTGAAGTAGCACTGGCTCACCAGCTAAGGTGGGAGAAGGTCGCGGACAAGCTCCGTGCTTTAGGTGCCACAACGAAGGGTCTCAAGAAGAAGCTTGCCACGTGGGCCAAGGAAAAGGGCTTGGCAAACTCCAAGGCCTGTCTTCTAGGCGGAGACGGCGTGGCACCTTTCGCCTATGGAGTTGCTGACAAGGCTCTTTTTGGACACCACGAGAGTGAGGGAGCGATTCTAGGTCTCTTTGGTATTTGGTAGGTCGAACTGACAGAGAGTGAGAGAGAGAGAGAGAGAGAGACTCGCTCGCAAACCTCCAGTTCATTGCTTCATGTATGACACAGCCTTCATTGTCACGTTGTAGCCGCGGAGTTAACAAGTTGATGCCGGCTATGCGCTCATGATTGTGAGTCGGGCTGAGTTGCATGTCTAGTTGCGGCTCAGCTAATGTTGTGTTTGTGTAGCGCGCAGCAGTGTATGCTGCTAGAATCACTGATTGCGGATGCAGGGGTCTTCCTAGCAAGTTGCAGTGACAGGGTCTGATTGTTCAACCTGGATATCGAGAAAAGGCAGTCTTTGAAACGTGTGAAAGTGGGATGAATCGAAACAAGCAACAGAGGACATTCTTCTCGGGGAATCGTCCGTTTTCGGAGAGTCACATCCTCCTTCTTCGCTGTTGCCAATAAAAAGGGCATGTCAGTTGCGAATGCCCGGGAATCCCACTTCCCCCAACGGGGGGACTTTTCGTGCATGCGCCTTGTGCCTGTTGTGCCCTCAAGCGTAAACACTTGCAAAATAATTTTCTCGAAGAGGATGAGGTAAGCACAAGAAGGTTCTCACGCCCCTCCAATAGCCCAAATGAACATGGTGGGGACCTTGCGGCCAGGGGACCTGACCCGTCCGAGAGGGAGAGGACTCTGGCGTAGTGGCATGGGCGCAGCATGCGCAGCAGCATAGGGTTCGTGATCCCTCCACACGCCTACGCAGAGAGAGGAGGGCAAGGGAAGCACCCCTGCCTTAAACATGGAGGAAGCAGCGTGCATTCCAATATGACAAAATATGATCCCGTTCAGGTTTTACAGTTACAGATGTGCCCAATGCGTCTTCAGATGTCAGGTCGTCCTGAAGAAGATCAAGGAGAAGCTCGGGTTGGACTGCCTGAAGTTCGGCGCTACTGGGGCGGCTCCCATCCGCGTCGACACTTTGCAGTACTTCGGGTCTTTGGGGATCACCATCAACGAAGTCTACGGAATGTCGGAATCCTGCGCCGCTTGCACCGTCTCAACAGATAGAGCCCACGTGTGGGGCTCTTGCGGCTTCCAGCTTCCTGGAGTGGAGGTCAAGGCTTTCAAGGTCGACCCGACAGACGTGAACAAGAAGGAAGAGTGTCCGAGAGCCCCGAGCATGGATGCGGCGGAGGACACGTACCAGGGCGAGCTCTGCTTCCGTGGCCGCAGCATCATGATGGGTTACCTTGCGCAGCCGGATCTGGGAAGCGAGCACGTGCGGGAGATTGAGAAGAAGACGGCTGAGACTATAGACTCCCAAGGATGGCTGCATTCGGGGGACAAGGGCATGATCACCCAAGCAGGGATGGTGAAGATCACCGGCCGCTACAAGGAGATCATCATTGGCGCTGGAGGCCGGCAAGCGGGGTAGGGCTGATCTGTTTCTGGTTCGGGCATGCAGTGGCGGATCCAGGTGAGAACATTGCCCCGGTGCCGATTGAGGACCACATCAAAGCCCATTGCGACGGCACCCCAGCTCCAAGTGTAGCCTCTAGTTTCGGTAGTTTGTGAAGGGAACGAGTACGGGTTTCGCAACCCTCCCGAAGTGCCCTGTGAGCAACCAGCAACTGCCCAGCAACTAGAGTCTTGGCCAAGGCATCAACGAGGTAATGATGATTGGCGACAAGCGCAAGTACAATGTTGCACTGGTGACTTTGAAAGCTGTAGGCGCCAATGGCGAGACGCCAGGGACCGACGACTTGGATGCAGGGGCCCGAAGAGTGAATCCGAGTGTCACGAAGATCAGCGAGGCGATGAAAGATGCTACCTGGATCGAGGCTGTGACCGCGGCGCTGAAGAATGCCAATGCCAACGGCAAGGTTTGCCCCAACAATGCCTTCAAGATCCAAAAGTTCATGATCTTGCCGACAAACTTTTCAGAGGAGCAGGGCTTCCTTACACCCACGAAGAAGTTGAAACGAGCCATCGTGGAGAGACCTGGCTTAGTTGCGACAGTAAGAAGCATTAGGCCAGTATAGCTTTAGGCACCGATGGAAGCAGCTGGTTTGCAGGTCCACGTTGCCGGCATTTTGCAGGAATGCATGGAAGGCAGATCTTTGCGCAAGGGTGGAGGGTGGAGAGGCCCAACAGGAACATCAGACAGAAGACGGGAGCCGAGACGGAAACTGTGACACAGACTACGCTGAGCTTGGTGCAGGGGTGATTTCCTGAAGCACTGTCGCCACTCAGGTCGAGACATGAAACATGAAGGCACACTTACGAATACGATTCGTTGATTGTAGCGTATGGCAGCATGGGGCAGGCCATGGCCATTTGAGAAGCTAGTTGTCGGGGTGAGACTCAACCAGGTTAGTCTTAGATGTATTCAAGTGCACGAAAGCATCAGGGTGGCGGTCTGACATTGTTGGGGGACATACCGTACCCGCAGACATCCCTGAGACATACTCGAAGGTTCCTGAAGCGGAGAGACATGTAAAGACCAATGCTGAGGAATGCCTTCAAGAAGCAGATCGAAATGATGTACAACTCAAGTGAGATGTACGTGCAGTACGAGGAGTAAAGCAGCATCTTTGGATGCGTCTCTTTTGCCACAACTCACGGAAGGTCGAATTCCGACACACCGGGCGCCATTTGTGAAGACCCGACTGCACGTGCCGGAGACTTGTACGGAGGGGTTTGCAATTTTTAAACTATGGTCTTCGACACGCGAAGAACCGCCAGAACCCGCGCCAAAGGTGCGGTTGCATGGGCTTGTCATTGCTTCGGCCTAAGATGCTGAAAGAACTGCAAGATGCTAGATGCACTCGACTATACCCAAGGGCCTGAGCATGCTCCAGTAACGGAGTGAATGCGAGAGGAAACAGTAGAGACCTTGCGAATCTGATGCAAGTAGCAACTTGTCTGTTAATCTCGGCCATGTGGCTAGTGACAAGTGACGCCCACTTGAGGTCCGTCCATCAAACGCACCTGCCCCAGAGATTTCACGAGGCTTTTCAGATGATGACGTGTTGAACCCTCCAACAACATGCTGCACAGCAGCAGGTTTTGATGAACAGGTCCCGCCCCTTCCCTGCAGTGCGACCTAGTCAGCGAAGCGGGTGGGAAAAAATCTCTCAAGCAGTGTATCGCTTCAAATTCTGTAAGTTTCGCTAGTCTTTGCTGCGGTTGCATCTGTTTTCCTTCCTTGTTAGTGGCAGGACTTGCTGCATGCACCGCATACGCTGTAGACCTGCTGTTTATGCTAAAGTTTGTTTTTGGCGGTTCTGTGCGGAATCACTGCTTCTGCCATTTTCGGTTAAAGCCCGTTGAAGTGATGCTTCGTCCGTGCGATTTTTGCGCCGTCTTCATCAACAAGCGCGAGGCATTTGAGAGTATTCCAAATCGGAGGTGTGGAGGCATGAATGAATCGCCGGCATTTGTCTATGCCTGTACCCGTGACACCGGCCGATGTGCGCCCACGACTTGAAGCACTGCGTGACTGTAATAGAGAACCTCGTATCTTCCGAATCCTCGCCTGCTTGTCGAGTGCGAGTGCCAAAAATAAAGGCGCACGGCATGTGCTTATGCAGCAGTTCTCAGAGCTGAAGGACCACCGAGCAGGGCCACGGGCAGGCGATGACTTTGCAGCACATTCTGCAGAGAACAGTGCTAAAACTGAGTACAGAACAGGCACTGCGATAGAGACACGGCATGCAACTGTTTCAGGAAAGCCAGCTGCTACTACGGTTTAGAGATAGGATCCTTTATCTTCTGCGTTATGTTAAAAAGATAATAAAAAAGTACAGCAGAACAACAAAGCACATCAAGCATGCCAGGAGCCAGAACAACAAAAGAACAACGCAACAACAACAGCAACAGCAGCAACAACAGTTGAAGTGGGTACAACGACATGCGGATGCGGCACAAATGCTGCCACTCAACTCAGTCGTTAAGTAGCAAAGAACCCGTTGGTGCTGGGCAAGTGCGACCAAAACACAGAAACCATGATAACTGAAGCACCCAGTGCCTCTGCGGAGCTAACTCTGCAAGCTGCTTTTGTTGCTGCTGCTATCTCAACTGCCACTATTGCACGCTTGCGTCCTGAAAATGAGCGAAGGCTCCAAAACAGGAATGATCTTCTGGTTCACAAAATATGTGAAGCCGATCGGCTTCGGTCTCGAGAAGTCGCCTGTGTCATCACCTCTTGATCGCAACCCTCGTTTGTTTCACGTTTGGGGCATGTGCACCACTTCGTGTGGAACCGAATTGAAGCGGTCCTTGCAGCAGAGATTATCCTGTCAGAGCTTTCGAATAAGGCCAACCGGCTAACCGGGCCAGCTGACAGGAGACGATGCTTCCACCGGGAGCCTGCTCGTATGCTGTATAGGGACTGTAGGGAACCCTTGAGTCAAAAGCTCAAATTCGCTATCCGTTTCCGCTGCGGCTCCGAGATGTTCCCCTTCTGGGAGGGGTTCCTTTTCCATGTGAAAGTTGTCCAATGCCTTCATACCCAAGACACTCACACCGATTCTTGGCCCCATATCTCAGGTGTAGGGTGAAGTCACGCCACACCGTATTATTTTCTGCCATGGGAGCTGCACAATGCCGAGTTTGTTGCGAGGCCCGCACAGAGTAAGGATGAATGATGCGTTGACTGGGCCGGCTTTTGTGAGTGGATCTCATTGCAGGATGAGACTGACTCGGGCCAGATGGTGACAGTGGAGACGATGACGACCGTTGCTGATGCCATCCGACTTCAACAGGAAGAGAAAGCACACCCTTTGAAGCAAGGCCTGCTGGGCTGCAGCGACACAGTTCGCATGACATCGCAAATCACGTTCGCTCGATCCTGTGCTCGCAGGCTTGTTCGGTGGTACGCTGCAGGGCAGATGGCGAAGAATGCAGGACAACTCATGACTTCGTTCGCCTGACGTCCTGATTGTGTCCCCGGCTTTAGGAGATTCAAGAGCTCTAGCATAGCGCCGCATCTCAAGACGTAAAGGGCAGTGACTTGCAAGCCATCTTTGGAACCCCGATCCCGTCGTCCTGCCCTCCCCCTGTGTAGGACAAATGCCTTTTGGGACACTTGCCCGCAGGGAATCTGTTTCGCACATTCTTCCGCCTGATGATGAGCTGCTCTTGTTTCCTGGTGTCAGGTCGAATCCAAGACAACAAGATGATATGGCAGCCCCTTTATCAACACCCACCAACCTTGTTGAAGGCACTCGGGGAAGACAGGACGGTCTGAAGCGAAAACGATGCCCAGAGTGGATTTTCTCTTCTCAATGGGGTTGTCTTTGGGCTGGTTCAACAAGTTGACCGTCACATCCCGCAGGATTTGCATGGATTTGGAGGGTGTGAGGCACGAGGGCATGGTGGTGTATTCGGCATCCAGCAGCAAGCTGCTGATCAACTGGAGCGACGGTTCCGTGGCACGCATTGATGCGCCTGGACATGTTCTCGCTGCAAGCGAACTTGTGCTTCCTGTGCTTTGACCTGCAAGGTGAAGTTTGGACGAAAGAACTCTAAGACTCTAGTCAGCGCTAGTTTCGAGTCACGGGGCAGCCGATATGCTGCCGCTGTAGACTTGATCTTTTCCCAATGAGCAATGTTTCACCCCGACCTTGCCGACATGACCGGTTCGTTGACTGTGCCAGTCGTGTAATTGCACATGAGCTGCTCGAATAGTTGTTTTGAAAGTCTCGCGGACAAATGACGTGCTGTCACTGCTGATCCTTGAGGCTAGGGCTAAAGCACTGCATTGGCGTCACTTCCAGATACTTTGAAAGGAGGTGAAGCAGCTCTTGCGCCAATTGCTGTTTGCCTTGGAGGCTGGGCAGAGTGGCGGCCACTGCTGGCTGCAACATGACCCCAGGTCAAAACTTCTTACCCGTATCGTGCATGACAAGAGCATCCATACAAGCACCTGTGAGCCTTTGAGCCGAGTCGAAGTAACCACGCCCCTGCCTGGGCAGGCAAGAGTGACAGAGGCGTTTCCCAAGACTGCTTGGGAAGGGTCAGGCGCCTGCTTTCAGGCCTTGTGCAAGTTTCCTCGGCGAGAAGAACCAAGTGTAACCTTGCCACACTAAACCTGTACCCCTTGCAAAATACGAGACTTCATATGTAGTTTTACTTGGCATGATCCGTGGCCTGTTTCAACTTCAGACAAGACCAAATAACCCACAGAACGGAAGAGATGGGCAGCAACAAGAACATAAGACAAGTACTAGTTCTGTATTTGCCTGGTGAAGCGCTGCTACGCGGCCACACGCGACCTTCGCGTGTTCTGTTCTGTGGGTGTGTTTGTGTTTTCTGCACACAGGGACATTTGAGCAAGTGCAGTGCACGTGATGCGCAACCTGCGCTTGTGCTGTGAAGAGAACTCGTTCAAGGGTTTGTTGCGAATAAGCAAGAGGCGGGTTAAGAAGGACGTTTCCTGCTGCCCCACACTTGTAGTGTTGCTGGGCTGTCGAACTCGGAACAGCTGTCCGCTTTCAATGAAACACAGCGCGGAAAAGTGCGCGGCCGGTCATGACAGACATAAATGGTTTCAGGTTGTGGCGTCTGCGAAGAAGAGCAAGGATTGACAGCTCATGCCATCAGATGCCTTCCGTAGCCATGTGGCCTGGCTTGGAGCGTTCTAGCAGCTTAGCCGCATGGCTCTGGCAGCTTTGAGCCTGCTGCTTTGGCTGACTTTCCAGGCCTTGATCAGTTTGACGTGAGATGGGTCCTGCCAAATCCTGTGAGTCCCATTCACCAGGATGCCTCTGCACAGATTCCCGAAGGGATGAGCTTGCTCGTCGGCTGCACCAAACCTTTTTCGGTGCCGCTTTAACGCCATCCTCTGGACTTTCAAGGTCCTACTACAGCAACTTGCCTGCGACAAAGATCCTAATCTGGGGAGGTGATACAGGCCAAGGCCTGGATATGTCGAGGGCTCGAGCCTCGGCGGAGCGAACAGCCGACAGCAGGTTGGAGCATAGGTCACAGGCTAGATGTGACCTGTAGACTTTCTGTTTGCATCGACTTGCATGTCGTGTGTCGACTCAGTTCGCGCACTCACGGTGTGCTTTACTACTCCTCGTTGGCAAGAACGCAGAGGTGCGCTGTTACTTGCGGTGAGAACGCAGCATGTCAGCTTTGGTTTCAGCATAGCCTGGTTGTTAGCAGCTTGTTTCGTTGGTCTTCGCACATGGTTCGCTTGCAGCACGAAAGCACATGCTCGCGTCATCTGTGATAACCGACGAAGAAGCACGGCAGATGCACATTCTGCTGCACATTGACCGTGTGCGAATGGGCGCTAGGCGGAGCCCACATTCAGAAAGTCAACAGGAAGGTCCCCAAAGCAACCGAAAGAAAAGAACTTATAGCAAGATAGGCATGGCATGATATCGTCAGGGCAACGGTCAGGCTTTGCTGCCAGTATAGCTACAGGGATAAATGCACATCAGTCGCTGGACCAGCAAGGCAGACTGATGATGAGACTTGTAACACACTGCAAGCAAGACTTGTTGTTTGTGCTGCTGATGTATTCTTCTGTGACTTTCGCGACGCTCACACTTGTGAAGCTGTTGTGAAGCTTAGTTCTAAAGAACCTCTCGAGGAGTAAGTAAAGTGCGTTTACAAAAGCGCAGCTTCGCATTCAGTCACAGCGTCCTTGTTCACATCAGCCAGGCTAGTGTGGAACAAAGACACGTACTGTACATTGCTTTGATCGGAGAGGGATGGATGCCAGGATGCTGAGGCAGCGGCCACACAGCTCCTGGCTGAGCCGCCAGTGGCAGGGACATGCCCGCCAGGCTCCAGTGCGCTAGGAGTCCCTCCGCAGTCCTACTTAGATTCTGTGCAGGTGTGGAGCCTGTAGTGCATTGGGATGCGGGCGATATACACAATGCGACGCCACGTGCCTGCATCCAGAGACAAGGGCCACAATAGCAAGTTGCTCCTTGAGTCCATACAAAATGTGCCCGAAGGTATGTGCTGCATTTGACCGCCAGGTCCACCTTGCTGAAGTGGTTGTTAAGCTGCGCATCGAAGTGAAATCCGAAAGGTACGAGTCAACTCTTGGAGGGTCACCTGACATATCCTGGAATTTCGCAGAGTGATTTAGCAGTAGCACGTCTCACAACGTAACGTCTTGCCTGGCCACAGGCTTTTCATGAGAACGCATCGCGTGATGTTGTGAAGCGTTCGTGTGGAGGTCTTGCGGTGTGTCACACTGCCCGGTGTTGCGCGCGTACCCGGACCGTCCCTTTCCATAGTAGCGCAGCGTGCCGACCTTGCCTGCTGCTTTGCGCCGTCCTGTAAACAGCAGTGACATGAGGCAACAAGAGCACAACCCCCGTCCTTAACGCCGGAGGTGGCGCCAAAAGATATTCATGTTTGATGGTATGGCTCCTTGACGAGTGGTGATTTTGTGTTCCTTGCAATCGCTTGGCTCGGTGCTGGGAGTCGCTACCAAAACGGACATTGGTAGTGTGGTGAGCATTTTCGCAGTAGTTCTGTGTGATCGGAGAGGGTGCTGGGGGGCGCGGAGCTACTTCAGCCCAACACACACGTGTGTCACGATCCCCTCCGCAATCTGCATCGAGTGGTAGACGATATGATGTGAAGCCTGTGGCAAAAAACACTTCTTAGTCATAGCACCTTGTACAGAAATCATCTAGTAGACAGGTCTAGCACTTGTAGCTGTAGCTTGAGCTCATGCTCTCTCTAGGGCAGGTACTGCGGAGAAACGGAGAAAAGCTTGCCCATATCTCGATCGCCTGGCGGATTGTCGTCGTGACCCACCGACTGTGGCATCCTTCGCTGCAGCCTGAGCATCGAAAGCTGGAGAAAGACACGGCCTCTCCTGAATGGCGCTTTTCACGGAGTCGCAATGCCAAAGAGACAGCAGGACATGGGTGTAGTTGCTGCAATGGTCTCGCACGGCTTCATCCTGCGATGCTTGGCTCTCAGGACGGCGACCCAGAGCCGAAGAAGAGAAAGAAGAAGTCCCAGGCGTGATCTGATTTTCGCGCCTGTCGTCGCAAGGCCTCTCACTTGCAGGCGCATGACGACGACTGCGAGGGCGAGCGTGGGTTTCTCGTCACGGGCATGACCTGTCAAAATGCCCTCCGAGGTTCGTGGAGGGTGGAGGAAACGTTTGCGACCGTTGTGAAGTCTATGACCTGGTGCTTTCCGCAGGGCTGAAAGACTTGAGGCTTTGGCTTGAGGTCGAGGCGTGAGACGTGCTTTGTCAACTCTGGAAGCTAAGTCTTATGCCAGCATGCTGATGCTTGCTCGTGAGGCGGAGGTCGCCGGGACAGGAGCGACGGATGAAGCTGCCGAGCGTCCACAGGGAGTGGCAGAGAGCTCCTCGTCCTAGGCTTCAGAGAATGGCATGAATAGCTCTCGCGAAAGCTTCCGCTTGCAACAGTGCCGAAGCACTTGAGGTTTGGACGCGGAGCTGGCCGAGTTGCGGAGCGACCCAGCTCAGAGGTACGGTCAAAGAGCGACGCGAAGCGGCGGAAGAGGATGAAGCGGGAGCCCTTGAGGCGCTTCCTGACGGTAGGCATGGTCTGCAAGGAGGCGCCCTCGGATCCACGATGCGACCACGAGCATTCTCCGTGGGCTTCAGGTGGCTTTCCTGCGCTCCCAGCATCAAGCCGATCTGCCTTCGGGGCTGGAACCTCGTTTCGGATCCAGCCCCCTTCAAGCCAAAGCCAAGTAGTCACAAGGCTGGCAAAGAAGTGCCTGGGCCCCAGCGCCAAGAGGCGCTTCATTTCCCGCTTCGCCGACCGTGCTCGGAGCCCTGGAGACAGGAAGTGAGTGCGGAGCCGATGGGAAGCCGATGAGTCATGATTAGTCAGTTTAGGCATTTTTGAGGTCCTCCCGGTGGATGGATCCACGCGGCCAAAGCTAGAAAGCTTCAAGAGCGGTGCGCTCAGCACAACTTGAATTGCTTGGGCTGAGTTTAAATTTCGCTTCTGTTGCGAAGGTCTCGCAGAAGGCGGGCAAGACTCCTTGCATGTTGCCGCGAGCTTCTCGCGCAGTCGCTTCCATGGGCAGGCATGCTCTCCAGCCATGCTGGCCGGCCATGGCGCTTGCTCTACGAAGCCTTCCGGGGCGGATGGAACACCATCTCCAAAGAGGCCCTGGCCGCCGTGGGATCTGCGACTCGTCGTGCTCGAGTCTCGAGTTCAGGATGCCATGGAAGCCTGCAAGCAGCACTTGGGCCCCGACTCTCAAAGTGCTGGGCCCTCAGGCAGAGCTCAGGGCACCAAAGCGCTGCATGCGGCCTTCTCCAGCCCCCTTCCAATCCTGACGGCGAAGATGTGCACCGACGGATTCTTAACTTGCTCGTGCGAGCTATACAGGAACTGAGGAATTGCTTCCGACTGCTTGATTTGATCTTGTCACAGCCTCTCCTATTCTCTTCAGCTCACGGAGCTGGAATGTGGGTCGCAAGGCCGCCCCAGGGTCCTAGCATGGCTTCCGGCGCATTTAAAAGCAAATATACACACGAGAGCAGAAGCCAGGAAGCCTGTGCTCACTGCTAGTTCGTCAGGTCAGTGAGCCGGAGGTGACCATTGTCTGCACTGTGCAGCCACGATTTGTAGGCCGTCGGAGCGAGAGCAGCGCAAGAGAGCAGAGCGAGAGTGCAGCGCTCTCACGCATCCATGCGAAGCACGAAGCTGAGCAGGACTGGCCGTTGTGGAGCTGGACATTGACTGCTTACGGGTGGACGACGAGTGAGACTGGCCGTGGTCGTGAGAAAAGCGTGCGAGGTTGGGGCATTCAGGCATCATCAACTGATGCTACACTGCACATACCCCAAGCACAAATTTGCAAGACCCGTCGTCTTCACTTTGAGTCAGCCAGGATTCGTTCAATGACTGCATCAACTTCTGGAGCTCGGCTCCACCCGCCATGTTCTACATAGAGACTATTTTGTACGGTAGGTATATGTCTTATGCGTGTCTTGGCTTTGGTTTAGGTAGCCAGACAGACGAAACTCTTGTATTGTGTGAACCGGATGAAGCGCCACATCTACGTGGGAGATATGTTGTGCTGCTACTTGACATTGCGGATGCTTGCGTTCTCAAGCCTGCATTTCGTGCCCTGATCCTCCCGACAGCCTTTTGAGTGTGAGTTCCAGATTCTGGGTGTCGGTGGTTTCAGGGAGCTGTGCCAGCTGGTGTGGGCTTGTTGCTTGGCTTCTGGGCTAACCGCAGGTTCTCGCCGTTCAAGCCCGAACATCTTGAACTTGGACAGGCCTCACTGATCATGACGAAGGAGCGTCTAGAGGGACATGTCAACCCAATGGCCAAATGGTAAGTGCTTGTTGCGGCTCTCCACTCCTGCAGCCGTTTATGAAAAATGAGGCGTCAATCACTTGCTAAGGTGATCTTGAAAACCATTGCCGACAGTTGGAACTTGGCCGTGCAAGGTTGCTGTAACAGCAGATTCAGCCAAGCACTCAGTTTCGCTCTTTCGCTACATCTTGCCATGTCAAGTCGACAAGTGCGCAAGCTTCAGCAGCTGCGCGACGGTGGCTCATTCGAAGAAGAGGCGTCGATGCGAGAAGCGGGTTAAAGCACAGCAAAATGTGAACGGAGCCTTGAAAGGAAGAGGAGGATCACAGCGAAGTTGAAGAGGTTACCAAGGCGTGCGGTAGCTTCTGCCGCAAGGCACAAGTCTTCGCATTCTGCATATCGGAAGGCTTCCTCCGCCTTTGGGGCTTTAGTGGACTCGGACACGGAGTCGCAGGAGGAAGCAGATGAGGCCGAGCCCGTGAGAGTGCAAGCTGACTCGTGAGTCTGTCGAGCAAAAATGAGTAGGCGGAGTCTATACGAGTCCATATCAGGTTTCTCCCGCACGGGTGCCCGTGGTGAGCGCGAAGATCGCCGACGAGGCTCAGGCTCGCAAGCCCCGGCATGGGTCCCGGAAGGGCCGAAAGGGACGTCAGGTAGAGAGCGGCCAAGGAGAGGAGGCCGAGCCAGGTCAAGCAGACGAGAGCCTCCAGGAGGTGCAACCGGCTGCCACCGAGACCTCCGAGACAGGCCCTTTGAGTATGTGCCGCCATGATTTCTCGGCCGAGACAGAGCGGCAGCGCGTCTTCGGAAGCGGCCGAAGCGGGCCTGGATCCCTCTTTGGCCAAAGCGGCCAAGGCCAAAGAAGGGCTCCAAGGCCGCGAGGTCAAGTGGAAGGTCGCACGCTGCACCACCGGCGACTGTTCCTCGTGTCCTTGAACCCTAACGAACCTTGGGCCAAGCCGGAGAACTGTACTCGCATGGTGGCAAAGGTCGACCAAGACGGGGCGGCTATCTTTGACTTCGAAGAAACGGCTGGGTCCTCCCGCGACTTGAAATCTCTGCGACAGATCGTTGCCCAGGAAGACCCCCAGTTGCTGCAGCAGTATTTACAGCGTAACTCCTTCTCTCTTGATGGTCTGCTCGTGATGGCAGAGTTCCACAGACACCAGGGGTCGCACGAACAAGCTCGGGAGTTCGTCAGACGTGCTGTGTACACCTTGGAGTGCTCCCTGTCCCCAGATTTCTCCCCCTTCCAGACGACCGGCTTGGGGCCCCAAGCTCTTCGACCGCGCGTTCGCCTCGATGTGAAGAACGAGTCGTCGGAGTGGTCGGGCTGGAGCTGGCTGAATGCACTTTGGCGTCACATGCATTGCCTGAGAGGCCTCGGGATGCACCGGACGTCTTTGGAAGTTTGCAAGCTGCTGCTGGCCTCTCGGCATCTCTCGGCGATACCCAAAGGGTTTTTAACTAATCTTGCAAGCTCCTTCTTTCGATGGCTCGGCTTCGGTTTCTTTGGAGGGAGTGCTGACAGTTTTTAATTTCTCCAAGACTTTCGCTGCTCGGAGGCTTGCACCTTGCCGAGGGACCCGACGCGCGGGCTTCTGTTCGCCGACTTCTTGTGCTTGCGCTCCCGCAGCTTCCACGTCGTTGAAAGCTTTGCCACGCTGCCTGCTTGTTATGGCTTGGCACCATCACGGACACCATACACGGCAGAACTGAGCTTTTCTTTCCCAAACATTGCCTATTCCCTCGCTCTCTGCACGCAGCTCGGGCGTGGCCAGGGCAGCACCCCAGATCTGGGAGCTCTCAGCAACCTCTCGTTGGATCCCATTCTGTCTGGGGTGGATAACGACGACTGGGACCACGATTTGCGCGCGCACGCTCGACTGATGCGTGCGTTGCTCTTCTTTCCTGGCTGCCTGCGACCCCTGCTTGAGGAGTGCGGCGTCAACTTGCAGTCCAAGCCAGGTGGTTCAGAATCCTGGTTAGATCTCCTTGCCGCTCCCCCGTTCTCCAACTCTATGGAGTTCTGTCATAGCCAGCATGCGTTAGCACACGGGCGTCTGTGTGTCGCCTATGCTAAGCTCTGCGGGCCTTTGTGGAAGGATGCTGTAAAATGGCTGCACGCCTGCTGTGCCCGATGGGCGCGCCTTCATTGCAGCGAAGTCTTTGTCAAAGACATCGAAGCAGCACGCAGGAGCTGGGCAGGCAGCTGCCTTGCATTGTGCGAGGCTCTTGAGGACTACAAAGACTTGTTGAGCGATGAATGCGCGGAGAATCCCGCACCGGCTCCCATCCTCGAGCGCGCAATGACCGCAAGGCTGCATCCTCCAAGGGATCAGAATCATCTCTTTGCTGGAGCTGGTGGGGCAGGTGCACACTCGGTTGAACCAAACATGTCCTTACACACTCCTGCAGCCATACTGTTCTTTCAGTCGCTGCTGCCATGGAGTGAGCTGGACCAGACCGGTGTCCAGGTTTCGCCGCTCTTTTGGCGAGATGTTGTTTCGGGAGGTCTTGCAATTGCCAAGGGCACTGGGCTTTTTGGGCTTGGTGCCTTGGCAGATCTTGGGCGGGCAGTGGCATCACTGTGGACGTCACTGCGTGGCTGAGACTTCCTCACCTTAATGTTTCCTCCCAGATGGTTTAAGCATCTGTTGGAGGTCCAAGAAGCAGCTTCCTGCCGCGCAGTTGCAGCAAGCGCTATATGCTTGGCTGCTTCAGTGCAGTGTACAGCTTTGGTGCGAGTCCTGTCAGCTTCGAAAATGGAGTACATGAACGGTTCAACACGCACGGGACTGGGTGGAAGTTTCGGACTGGATTCTGATAAGTCTTGCTACTTGCTACATCTGAAGGCCAGCATCGGCCGATATTCCCTGGTTCTGCGGAACACACCCCAAACAAGAAATCAAGCAAGAAACGTCGAAGAGCAAGAACTGTATGCTGGGTGTTCGGATGTGCAGTATGGTCCGTGGGTGCCCCAAGTGGTCTGGGGGTTGATGCAAGATTGCAAGATGATCTGGAAGAAATCGTCGGAACAGTGAAAGGAGGATAGCAGGGACGTGGGAGTGGGAGGCTCTTCCGCCTTCCTTGTCTTTCTCTGTGCATGTGCGGGTGCGCAGCTCTTAGCTCCGGCCGCACGCAGCCTTTGAGAAGCCATGCAGGCAGAGCGAGACAATCTTCTACGTTTGACCAAGCCTAAACTCCGATTGCATCCGTTCTGTCCATCCACGAGATCTTCTTGCTAGCTGAGCTCAGCTTTGGTCAGAAGCGAAAGACCTCACTAAGCGAAACACAAGGGCTACAGTGCTGGCAGTGAGGCACATCGCAAGCAGCCTACACGGTCTGTTCCTCTCCAAGCGCACGTGATGCAATGTCGGCTGCGGTGGCTCGCCCTCCGTTCTACAGGACTCCGAGCTGTTGCGCTGTTGCAACCTGTGCTTTTCTTCTCTGCGTGCTCCGAGTTGAAGTTGAAGCCATCATAACGCCAATTGCAAAAACTGCCCACTGTGACATCAGCGGGAGTGAGCGAGCGGTGACTCAGAACCAGGCCCGGCTCCAGGCTACCCGTGGAGTCGACTTCCTGAAGTTTCTTGTCTGGCTTGTCCGAGCCGTGCAGTCTTGCTTTCCAGGGCACGCGCGGCAAGGTCTGGAGCTGCCTTGTCTTGCCTCCACGACTTTTTTCAAGACATTCATGTGTCATGCAGCCACACTGCTACGGCTGCTACGCATGAATGCAAGAGGCTTCGCGTCCGCGCGATGCACTCAGCCCTGGGATCCTTGCGCCCTTTTTGATGCGACCGAGTGTGGTCCCAGGCCTCTCGCGCAACTCCGGGAATCTCTAGAATCGCGCCAGCCCCAGCTCGCAGAGAATGGTCGAAGCTTGACATCTCATGTGAAGCAGCGTTGTAAAGGCTGTAAGAAGGATTTGAGGCCCGAGGCCTGTAAATGATTCCTCATTCTGCATTGTTACAGCTGCGCTTCGCCGATGCAAGAACAGATTGTGCAAGACACATTCTGCAGCCTTGGTTTGTGCTGCGTACCAGTGCTGCCTTTTGCTCACGGTTCTGCCGAGGCTGGCTGCAGATGTTGCCAAAGAAGTCGAGGAGCACGACACACAGCAGCAGGCGCTCCCGCCTGGGAGTTCGTGTGCAGGTCCAAGGGCGGCCGGCGAGGCGGCCAAGAAAGCGACTCCCGATGCAAACGAGGCACTTCACTGAGACGGCCGCTTAAAGCTCCCTTTGTGAAACTTGCTTTTGACTTTTGACCAAGCATGGAAGGAGCAGCGAACAGAAGGACCTCACACTTTGGGAGGCCGGTGGCAGAGTCCCGTGCGGCGGTTTTGTGTCCGTGACTGGACCAGAGCAGAATCAGGATTCCCCTGCTGCCGTCTACAACCCGTCCCAGGGCATGCTCGTTCTACAGCAGGCTGGCCCGAGCCCGAAGCACTTGTGAGACCTTGCAGCACTTTTCTTTGTGCCTTCTGTGGCCAGGAGCAGTGGCATGAAAGGCGAGGCCAAAAATACTGCTTCAACTGAAGTCTAGCGTGGCTCGCGGCATGAGTTCGTAGGTTGACTCACGACCGTGTACTGGACTGGAGTGGCAGGCGCGGTGCTTGACAAACAGCTTAATATGCCAGGATTGTGGAGACTTGGCAATTTAGGGCACTGGCAGGTTCATCTCCGTTTGTAATGCTGCATACAGAACGGAGAGATGCTCACAGGCTCCATAACTCAACCCATGTCTAAACTACAGCTTCGACAACTCGGAGATGGCAGAACTTGGCCCCAACCATGGCGAAATTGCGAGGCTTCGGGCTCAAAAGGCGAAGCTGCAAGCCGGGGACCTGGCTTGGCCTTGAGCCTTGGGAAAGAGAAAGAGGACGTCGTTCTACTAAGATAGCACTCTACTACTTAGCTACTTGTAGTACAGTAGTCAGTAGTCTATACGGCTATAACTGACTTATAGACTGTGACTGACAGTTATATAGACTTCAAAAGCGCAAAACTCTGCCAGCGCAAATCCTTCGCGGATCCCGGCAGACAAGATCGCTGAGGAAACCGGTACAGTAGTTCCTCGATACAAAACGGCAATCCAAGCCCAAGAAGAAACAAGCGCGCTGCTCTGCCCGTGACTAAGAAGTAGGTCACTGCAGACTTGCGGGCAAACCCGCGAAGCAGAATTCTGATGACTCTAGCCCAGGGTATGCTCAGATGCGGCATGATAGGACGCACCCATGAGCAAGAGTTCGGATGGCCGTTGTCCGGCGTGTCTCTGAACCATCCTAGAGATCTTCGATGCAAAGAATCGCGGGACAACTCCGACATGCTTCGTGCAAAAGTACATGACAAATCCAACGAGAAGAACTCAGATGGCAGGGCGTTTTTCGTAGCATCCTCCGGGGAAAATGGCAAGACAAACTCAAAAGAAGAATTCGGATGGCTTTTCCCGGCGGCTTTCGGCAAGACAAATCCCAAAAGCGCTTTGGCCCGGCGTTTTTCGTAGCATCCACCGTGCAAAATGACAAGACAAATCCAACAAGAAGAATTCG